TATCGATTGCGCTCAATGGCCCTAAATGACAACGGAAGATACACATCACATTCGCGACCATGGTCAACACAGACTGACATAAGCTGATTGTCAGAGCCGACTTTTGGCAGTATCGGATCGACGGCAACGATGACGTAAGATTTAGTACGAGTTGCAATATGTGTTAATACACAGATTAAACTACAAGGACAGGATCCAGGGTGCTGAGGGTGCAGAAAGAATCAAAGTCGATGGAGAGCAAATGCAAGTTTGTGCTCATACTGGTCCGCTCGAATGTCGTCAAACATCCCGGTACTTTCTACCAGGGCGAATCACAGGATTTAAAACTCGGAGTCGAAAGGGCGCCCTTCGCGTGGCCTTTGCCTTCGGCAATGTCGGCATTCGCTTTTTGCCCTTGACACTCCGAGAAGATGCGGATGGCTCCTGCTGCTTCTTAGCCTTTAGAGCGGAACGCACATCGGCCGCTTGCTTGGCCACTCGCAGAGTTGCCTTCTTCGGTACTACACCAGCACCAGTGAGACCGGAACACCATGTCTTCCAGGCTGCAGCCGGCAGGATGACATTCTTTCTACCCTGCAGGGCTCTGTGCACAAGTGCCGATTGTGTGACCTGCTGTTGCATGGGTTTGTACAGAGCCTGATTATGCAACAGCAGTTTCAGAAAATGAAAGAGTCTCAGCTTGAGATGAAACGCAGACTTGTGGATATGCGCCTTGGTTCTAATTCTAATCACAGACAGAAGAGAACGCAGGGCAATGTTTTGGGAATGCAGACAAGCGGCTGTCTCCCTGAACCACGTGTTCAGCTCGTGATGAAGGCTCTCGTTTGAAGTGGTCCCACTGGGAAGCAAGGTCAGTTCCCGGCGATCTACCGAATGTCGATATCTGGTATCGTTCAGGAGGTACTGGAACTTCACAGCACTGGCAACATTAGCAATAAGGCGATGGAGAGTGACGCCGGAGTAGGTGGTTTTCTGCAAGTCGTTCCAGAAAAATGAAGCATGAGCAACAAGAGCTTCCAGAAAATCTACTTCAGTCAACCAGGGTTCGTCTGGATTGATATTCTCCAGAAATCTCCGCGAGGCTTCTTCCGACATATCTGGGTCATCCAAACGAAGCCGCATTGCTCTGACATCAGGGGTGGCTGTCGGGGCCTGGGAACCATCAAAGAAGGCACCCCATGACGCGGCGGTTCGCGTAGGCTGCACTTTTCTGAACTTATTCATGATCACGGAGAGCCATTTGCTACCAGTCGTGCGCTTGTTATTGGTGTTTTGATCATATATCATCACAATATGCATAGCGTCCAGGGAAAGACTCCGTAAGTTCGGTAGAACTTCCTTTAGGACCACGAAGAGTTCGGACGATGGTGCGTCCGACGCGACGTGGATCACTTGTTGGCGCTGGCTTGTTGTGAAGTCACGTGTCAGAACCTCGGCCACGAAGCGAGCCTTCTCAGAGCGAATACCACAGAGAGCTAGGGTTGCACCTGTTCGGCCGCGACATGTAAAGGTCCGGTAGGCTGCGTCCTCCTCTGGAATAATGGCCGCACTTCGCGCCGATTCAGACGAGTGAAAAGAGGCTTGTCCGAGAATCTTCAGATTGATCTTGAATGTGGCATCGATACTGATGTACTTGAACTCAGTATGCTGCTCACATTCATGTAGCAGGTGTTTTGCGTGTGACTGGATGAGCGGGGAATGTGTCAAATCCTCCATCACATTCTTCCAGAAGTCAGCCTGGCCACGAGGAAGAAGCGAAGCCAGTTCTCCATTATTTCGTCTGCAGCCTTCTAGGAAATGCATCTGGATCTTTGACAGTGAGCCGTGGCCTGCCGCCGCCGCATGGAGGAAAGCCACGGCAAACTGACGATCATAGTACAGATTGCCGACTCTGCGTAGTGTCTTCGACTTGCGAACGTCTGCAAGTCTAACGAATTCGGGTCCATCCGAATGAAGGATGCACCGAAGTAGCTTATCCACATTGATACGATCTCGAGGCATGGGACCTTTGATAGTATCGCGAAGAATTCTACTCGATCTCGCCAAAAAGGTTGGCTGCAGAACTCGGCCATGGAGAACGTCGTGGTCGTACAGAGCCGATACAATGCGCAATTGCTTTGTCCCCGAAGCACAGAAACGCTTCACTTCTGTATGATGTTTGCGAAGGTGATGGATCAAACTGTTTCGCCGATCGAACTGTCTCCACGGACAAAGGGGACACACGGAGACACCAAATCCTTTACCAGCATCCTGCTTCATCTTTTCCATGGACGCCTCGACTTCGGCTTGGAGAAGATTCCGGAGTTCGATGCCCACGACCACCTCGCCTTCATTTCGAGGACCAAGGTCTTCCATGGCAGCCGCCGGTCGCTTGCGAGATGAACCCACAGCCGAGGAGCCAGCCAGGAGATCCAGAAATGAGCTCTCGGTTTCATCTAACTCTGGGTCATCTGCCTTTGTCTGGAAACAGAACGTCTCCTTCGTGCCCACATAAGCATCTATCAGTTCTACTAGAGCGGGACGGGTGCCCTCGTATACTTTTCCGTTACGCATGACAGCAATGGTATTGCAGTCGCCGACTTTGACTCCCATGCAGAAGGATGCTTCAGGCAACTCCATATGCAACAAGAAGTTCATACTCATATCTGTTGTGCAGCGTCGCGTGGGCAACAGGTAGACGCCATCACAGCCGTGCCAGTCGGAGTACTGGCGAATACGGCGAGCGTGGGCTCGTGTGTTTGCGGGTGTCTCCATCCGGAGACGAGCCACCACCACCTCTAAATCCACACCGAGAAAGACCATGGCCGCTGGGATGGAGTTAGGGACGGCTGCCAGCAAGTCCGTATGGACACCAAGACCGGTCCAAGAGGTGATCTGCGTCATGCTGCGGGCAAGCTGCGCGTCAAGGGTTTGGACAGTCTTCTCTTTCAGCCGGATTCGAAATGGTGTCTGTCGCATCACAGCATCCTGCAGGAGAACGTCCATGGTCTTACCGGTCTTGCACTGGATGGTCTCCACCATTTCACGCCCGAGCAGCAGTCCATCGAAATGACAGGATAAATGCCCGTGCACTCCATGCTGTTGGACCTCCTCGATCATATACTGGAGAATGTAATCTTCCGCAGACGTCCACCATGAAGAGAAGATGCTAGCCTCTGGCCATGTGTTCTTGGAATGTTGTCGTAACTCGTTGTACTCCGTTTGCATTTGGGAGCACGCTAGCCACCGGAGCTGCCTGCTTTCATCTGAAAGAGCATTCAGGAAGCGAACGGCCCGGTCGCCAAGGTGGGAGAACTTTGTCACAACAGCTCCACAAGCGACCTCGATGAGCACATGTTTGCCAGTTGCTTCGCTGCAATCTAACTCCTGCCGGCACGTATTGGCTCGATCTGCCACCACGGCACGCCATGATGGCAGTTCCACACCTTTTGGCTTGACGAGATCCACAAGCTGCACGACGATGTTGAACATAGATGCGACTATGTCGTAGTCGAGCGTGTCCGGGAAGCAGATTGCTCGAGCCAAGCGCGAGACGCCCTGTGCTCCGACAGTGCCTGTCGCGTATCGACGACATCGAGTTTTTTGTGGATAGTAATACTCTTGCTGGAAAACGAGACTCTCGCAAGCATGACTTTGCTCCCGTTGCGAAGCGTCCAGGGCTCTGGCAACCTTTGCGAAAATGCTATTCTCACGATCAAGGGTCTGAGCAAGATTCTGGGCCAGCTGCGCATCGTCTGTTTCTGCATCCAGGCGGCGCCGGGGTGCCCCACGTTTCTTGCCCGTGCCCTCTGGCTGATGGCGCTTGCGGTATAACTGCGTCAGAATCTTCAGGTTCAAAGTTCTGGATGAGCCCGGTGCGAGTCGTCGTTGCATATTGGACACATCATACTTCTCCGGGAAAAACAGATTTTCATCGAATGTCTGGGGCACTGCCTCCTCCAATGGTGTTTCAAAAGAAATCATCGGCAGATACACCTCACATTGGCCGACCTTGGGCAGAACTGCAGACGTTCCAATGAGTTTGCCTGCTTTGGCAAGCCTCTGGATATATGTCTGAGCGGTTTGCTTATTGAAGTCGAACACATACTTGTTCTTGGCTACTTTGAGCTGCGCCACAGTAAACCAGTCTTTGCGCTCTTGACGAAGCCATGTACAGATTTGTTGCACGCAGGCATCATCTTCCCTTTGCTGCGCGGTTCGATCCTGATCTTGCTCCTTCTTCTTCTCGGCCAAACTTGTCAGTATTTCCTGGATCGGATCTTTCGTCACTGTTTCTTCCACAGTCAGTCCGCAACTGCGGCGAACACTGGAACGCGTCAGCCCTTCGTCCCCGCCATGCACGACATATTGCTCCAGGACGTTTCGGCACTGCTCAGCTGTCTTGCGTCTGGCGTAATTCCAGATACAGCGAAGCGTGACGAGACAGGCCGGCTTGTCCCGGAGAAAGTCTTTCAGCGTGGGATCTCGCGGAAAGATGCCATGTGCAGCTGCTAGTTTTTCCCTGTCTTCCATGTCTGGAAGCTTGGCCATGTCGACGAAAGAGCTTTTGAATCTGCAAACAGCAGTGCGACGCATGATGGAATCGACGTTCTCTTCAGTCACACCGCTGAACCTGAGTCGATACAGGAAGACGTGACGCTCATTTCCGACGCAAAAGGGTATCAACATCCTATACAGAATGAGTCGACACTATAGCTGACCGAGGAACTTGGGCAAGGCATTCAGCTCGAACCGCTTCCACCCGCGAAGTTCCACTAAAGCTGTTTGTATAGCATACGGAAGTCTTTCAGGCACCTTGTCAGCCGAGATGTGCTTCTTGTAAATATCTTCTCTCATCGGCCGGCGAGAACCTTGCACACTCTCCTGCCCCGTGACCACGATTTTGCCGACGAGACTGGCCGCCTGCTTCCGCATCTCCTGACACACAGCAATGTCGATCAACAACTGAATTGAACGCAATGCTGCACAGCCCTTCTATTCGACTTCGGCGTGGCCTCGTCCACGAAGTAGATGTTCATATCCAGGCACGAATGGTACTGCCCGAGTATGGCTTCCAGGTGAGCTGTCTGCAGAGATTGGCCGACGCCGCCGGAGCCGACTCCCCAGAAGGCGCGGTCCACATTCTCGCCCCGAAGGGCCAATGTCAGAGATGCCAGAAACACCTCGAATGCGGCCGCGTTCCCCCAGTATGTAGTTCTCCAGAATCGTTGCACTCTTTCCTTGACGGCCTCGCTGAGTGGGTCCAATATGCGGTGGGGAAGGAACACGTAGATGTTGTTCGTAGCACTTTTTCCCACGACGTTGAGACCATCCACATCAAACAAGAAGCAGGCATCCGACGTACAAAAACCACCATTGCGTTTCACATCCAAAGAACACCACGCAATGTAGTACTTGATAAGAGTGTCGTTCAACAGAGAGGTTTGCCTAGGCATATCGTGCAGCATTCACTGGATAAAGCTCACCACATCACTACATGACTGCAAGACCTACATCCGCCTAGTTGCAGTTTCACGTACAACTTGCCGATGGTGTTGGCCATCGCTACGGTCCACGGCATCTCCCCCTTGCCGCCGTCAACCGCCTGGTCTTCTTCGCCTCCTCCTTTAGACTTAGTCGGTAAGCGACAGATAGCCGCTTTCTCGCATTCGCCCAAGAGGAAGTCCGGCATGCTCGAGTGTCTTTCAAGGAGTGCCTGGGCGGCCGACAGAATGGCATCGGCGTCCCGTAGAACATTGCTGCCCAGAAGGACAAAGAAGCCCTCCAGATGCATGAGGAACTTCTTGCAGCGGGCCAGGGTTGCCTCGGGCACGACTCCTTCGTATGCACTCCAGTGGCCACGATCAGTATAAAAAAAACACTGCCCATCATGCGCTCGAATGCATCGACCTGATCCCTCGATCAGTTCAAGAAAAAGTACCTCTTCGCGGCGGCTGATGTCCAAGAGGCGCAGTCTGTGCACAGCAAGGGCACCCTCGACGATATAGCGAAAGTTAGCGGGCCAGTTTTGGCTTGGTTGGAATGCCTGCAGGGTTAGTCTGAGTGCGGATATTTGGTGCAATATGCCCTCCTCAGTGGTCACGTTGCTGTGCGGCTGCAATAAAGCTGGATCGAACTCTGTCTGCATGAACCGACTCACCGCTAACTCTAGTGCAGCTGCGTCCCCTGCTTCTGCAATTCTTTGACGCTTCTGACTGGACTCGATGGGGACGGTGTGTTCAACGAGACTGCCTTCCAGTTGCTGGATGTCCTCATCTATCATCTGCGAGAAAGACGGTCCTTCCGCCTGACTGCCGCCACGTACATCTGTTGGCGGCGCAACTCGATCTCGTTCGGCAGACGCCGTCACAGCATGAGCCAGTTCATCTCGCAAACTCTGAGAAAACGACGGATGGGGTCCCTCTTGGCCTGCCCTGAGATCATCCTTTGCGGCATCTGTCAGTTGCATACAAGACTGCATGTCCTGTCGTCGCCAAGACATGAATCTGTCCATGCAATCAGATAGAAGCGGAACCTGAATCACTAGAGGGGTGAACTCGTTGTCCGGATGTAGACATACGACGCGCAAATCTCTGGCAGTAACATCATAATATTGATGGAGAATCCACGCGTAAACATTCAACTGGATACGATAGTGCCAGAGAACTGAATCTGGGATTTCATCAAGTGGAAAACGAAGATGACGTCCGAAGCCGTTTTCCTTTGAGGCGAGTTGCCTAGTCCTCTTCCAGTCGAGGATGCAGAAGTCACTGCCGCGTTTGGCTACTGCATCGATTGAGCCGGCCAAGTCCTCCGCCTGTGCATAGATCGCCCACTCAGTCCGATAAATGACCCAGCCCTCTGCCTGGAAGTCTTGAAGGAATTTCAGGAACATACATACTTCCGGCGAATGTGCTGGCACACTCCCACCATTGAGGAGACACTCGCACTTGGCGTGCATCCATGTGCCTTCCGCAGCCGCTACTCTGCGATTATTTTCCCATCTTGCAAGAATCTGTGAATCAGTCATTGATGCGATTGTAGCCAAGTGCCGGTATCCTGGGTGCGTCCAGATTAGGTCGCGAAGTCGGCGACACACGGCTTCGACGTCGACCTGAGAGCAACCTAGTAGCTGATATAGTTCCATATCGACGAGGCCCTCAGCAGCCAAACCTGCTCGGAGCGTCTGCACCATGTTTGGAGCCACATATTCCACACGGGGCCAGTTCCGACCGCCTCGCATGGCACGTAATGCCTCGGTAGGATTGAACGTCTGTACCAATGAATGAATAAGTCCAGTTACCGACAGGCTGACTCTGTGTCCTCTCCAAGTGTATGAATGATCAGCTTCTCGAAACTGCAGATTAGAATCCCGCGTGTGTGGGTTCACGACCGAGAGAACGTCAACGACAGAAACACCAGAAAGGAATTCCACGTTGAAGCTCGATGGCGTTGCTACCGCTACCGACCGTGGCCAGGTCCCAGCACGCAGACAAGGTGGAAGACATGTATGGAGTCCGAAATCCGACAAGGAAACATTCCCAGGAATCTCTCGCACAGTTGTTTCCACAGCGAAGAAGATGCCCACCTCCTGACTTTCAGTAGCAGCTGCATGTAAACTTGCCAACATGCTCTCATCCATGCGCATGACGTCGGTCGCATCTGACACGGACACCTCCCTGTCACACACGATGTTTTGCGAAGCTTCCACACGCTCACAAAGACGAAGGAAGCTTGGTACGTCACCAACGAATCTCAAATATAGTCGCCGCAGTGCATCAAGGCGGCGTCTTTCAACTTGCATTGTTTGGGTTGTCGCTGCCACTGTGGGTGCCCCTGCAAGACAGTCTTCAAGAAATGTATCTGGTACACATGACAAACACATGTCACTGCCCATAACGCCATGCTCCTCACAAAACCAATGCTGGCATGTTCGGCAGCACGCCAGACTGTTCCTTTGGCAATAGGAGCAAAAGGGATGCCCGAAAGAGGCGCGGTACTGCCATGGCAGTGCATCGACCTCGAAGTCCTCGATTGGACTGCTGTGGCTTGCAATACACATGGCACCGGTACGTACCCATGGCTCCAAAGTCTGGTTGCTTGTCAATGGGATGCTGGAGACTCCCTGATCATCGAAGTAGACTTCGAGTAGCTCTGCCTGCCAGCGAAACTCGAATGTGTGTCTCCAAACGCTTCCATCAGAGCTGCAGTTCGGAGACGGTAATGAAACCCGTTCTCCATCTGCAAGGCGGAGCCACATCTCTCCCGTCAAAAGATGTGGTTTTCGGAAAATCAAGCAAGTACTGTTCTCTGGGCTGCTGTGAGATGCAGCGCGGCGGAGTGCAACAACTAGAAAGCTGGCACCTGTCGGAATAGTGCACATCAGCCGAACAGACTGGCAGGTTTGTCGTTCACATCTCCAGTACCTGATGATAGTCGACGATGTCGTTCTCACCGGCCCCACGATGCACGGCAGATATTCCCCTGTTCCCTGTAGCCAGACCTTGTCATCGAGCGAAGACACTGAATGCAGAATCTGGTGTGGGCATGTCACACTGCGGACGCTTGAGGCCCAAGCTGCAACGAGTTTTCTGAAAAAGCTGCTTTGTCGGAATGTTGCACCAACACGATCCGATAACTCCAGATTAGCATTGTGCCAGAAATCATTATCCTGGATTGTCCGTCGTAGGATGGTGTTACAAGTTCCAATCGACATAATATCTGGAAAGCATGAAAGCCACGAAGCTGGACGGAAAATCCCTGTCAGGAACATCAATGGGTTTACATCCGCATCTCCAATATGATCCAGAGAGGAAGATGCTGCGGCCGCGGCCCCCCCTTGCAGATCGCCACCATGGGAGAAAGCATACGCTGTGCCCATTTCTGTAGCCAGTAACCGGCTGCGCACCGAATTCCTCGGCAGCATAGAGTCGCGCGCGTGGAAAACATAAATGGTCACCTGGGCCGCGTCTGGAATTTGATTGGGTTGTAACTCCAGGGACCCCACTCTGTGTCCACTCATGAAAACTTGCAACGAATCTTGGTGCCATTGAACTTGCAAGAGCCGAGCGCTCTCCATGGGATTCCAAGGCATGTGGCACCATTGGACAACAGCTGCCTCGTGCCTGCGGCTGTGGCTCATCGTGGTTAGAAGCGTGTCACTCTGTAGGTTGTTTAGCTCACACCAGCATCTATCGCAGTTGCCCACAGCAGCGCCAACTGTGATGACGCATCTATCCGGGACGTCCTCGACACTCAGGTTAAAATAGATAGGTGCCAGCACATTCCCAGTGCTTCGCCAAAGGGTCATGACTGTTTCGGCTAGCACCATTGTTCGATGGACAGTAGGCCACTCGAGGGCCACGATGCGGGATGCACTCAGCGCCTGCGCTAGCCGAGAGGTTCCTTGCAGCCAACCTTTGCGAATGGCAGAACTGACGATGACTCCTGCATGTTTGTCGCTCCAAGTCACTGGCTGCAACAACAGGTCGTTCGCCGTGGAACATGTATGTTGCAGTTGCACGAGTGACGTCAGGTCACCGACAGAAGTGGCAATCTCCGTGGCAAGGTGAAGAGGCAACTCCTGGAGGGCGCCTCCCATCAAATCAACATCGCAGGCGCGCCGGTCGTCTGCGTCCTGCCACAAGGATAATTCTTTCTTACAGGTACATATGTTCGGAAAGTATTATGTGTGTGGATCCAGCAAATTGACTTCCTGCGATCTGCCCTTTGATGAAGAAACGACACTGACGACAAAGACGGAGCTTCGCGCATCTCTGCTGCACCCCCATCCATAAGTCCTGAATCACAAAGAAGCCGGTGCACGTGCTGGGGTTCATCCGCCAGCAGCCCAGGTCCACTGAGTACGTCAGCGGGGATGGGAGGTCGTCCACATAGATCTTATGCCATGTGTGGGTCCGGTTGGACGTGTTTACCTCCAGGCAGCCATCCTGTTTGCGGATACCCATGAAGTGGTTGTTCGCCGCTACCAGGAACTCCGCGTTGTCCGACTTGACAATATGCTGCCAGTTGGTGCGATGAACGCATTTCCTTAAGTCAACGTGATGCCGGGGACTGTAGTACACTGCATACTCATCGTGACACAATCTATCTGATCTGCAAACGTGACACTGGAAAGGCTTCAAGAAGACATTGCCATCTTGGAGCGCCCAGAAGGGTCCATCCGAAGTGTAAGGGCACTTGTACCCGTGCCCACGCAAAGCGTCCACCAGGCACACATCCCTGTATGCGCGCCGCTCACCTTGGTAAGAACCTACATTCTGTGTATGGCGGTCTGTCATGTATCAGGCAGAGCTGGAGATCGCACTACCGAGTCACCAAGCGGAACTTCGTACACGTGGGACTTGGTGTACATAGCCATGCCTTCACACCAAGCATTCAGCCGACGCGCAATTCTTTAACAACAACACAGAACAGCCGGCCTGACCGCTGGTGCCTTCGATTGCATCGACGCGACCACATTTGTCTTGTGACGGATTTCCATCCAAGACCTGCCTGTACCGACTTGCAAATCGGTTGTCTTATATTCCATGAAATACTGCTACTGCTTCAGATAACAATAAGCCTTCGCAACTGGCAGCTTGGATGTGCTGGGCCATGGGGCCAGGACCCTTGGTTGATGCAACGTCCCTAGCACTCCCCAGCACATTGCTGTTTTTCCTGCACATACATACGCATGCACCAAAGTACATGAGTCTATGCTTTATCCGTCGCCGAGTCACTCGAAGGGATCCAGGAAGTCGTCTGGAGCTCGATAGATCCTTGATCTTACACATGTTCGTTTTTAGCGACATAGCACCACACGCACTACCCTTGCAGATGAGTACAGCACCCATCAGCCAGGTACAAGGACTCGCGCAGTGGCCCATGTTCAGGCGATGCACACACATGCCAATCCGACCTCATGACAGTCTTCTCGTTTTCGAATCTAATTGTGTATATTCACGTGTTTAAATTTCTTCTGCACGCACTTCCGAATCTAGGGCCGCTACGCGGTAGCACCATGCCTCACTCGGATCGCGTCTTTATGTTTGTTGACGAGTATGTGCACTGGGTGACACACTCGCGATCAGTGAGTGGCTCCCAAACAGTCGTTACATACTCACTGGGCAGCGTGCTCCATCTCGATCAGCCTCTGCACGCTGCGTACTGGTTGGAAACTCGCCATTGTCCACCTCAGTCTTCATCACATACATGTCGCCATTTGTGTATAGAACTGAGTGACCTACTCCATTTTCAGAAGCGCCTCCACGGCACTCCTCGGATCCCATATGTTTAGTTAAACCATATGTTCCGCACATAACGTGGATCCAATGCTCCCCTACTGCCTCATCTCAACGCATTATCACATTGCTGTTATCTTGCCTTCCACTGGCCGTCGATCTTCGCGTCGACATGTCCAAACTCGGATAAGCAGTATTGGGCGGTGTCATGGCCGCGCTTTGCACGCAGCCTCTCCCGCAGCCCACCTGCCCATTGAGCGAGCATCCAGCTCATAGACAGTTTCCTCGCGACGACCGGGAGCTGGCGAACGCCTGCGTCACGGAATTAGGACAGCAACTTTCAGCATGCTGTTAGCCGTCCTGGTACCCTTTCGAGAGCTCCGCGTCTCCTCGTCACACCTTACACGACGCTAGTTCATTCCTGTTAATTTTCCATTGTCATGTTAAGGTGATAATAAGGTATACAGGATGATCCTTTATTAAGTCCTGATTTTCGAGGCCTGCACGCAGTCTTTACCCATCGGCCGCACTCGTCCAACATCCCTTGGTTTGTCTCATGTATCACACAGTAAGTCAACCATGCGAACTAATGTTCTTCGATTGCATTCAGGTATGATTCTCCATGCATGCCGCCGGGTTGCAGATAGCGATTGGACCTGTCCCATTTGCTGAAGGTACAGGCCACTAGAATGCCCTTCGTGCACACGGAAAGCAGTCCTTCTGTGATGAAGCTTGTCTTCTCCCTGAACGAGCAGCATGAGCGTGTGATGTTTTCTCATCAATCGCACTTATAAACTGCAAGACATAACTCCTTATCTGTCAGTCCCGTAAGGCATGTGCGTTTTAAAAACTGGGGTGTCCAGGGCCGCGG